TGGAGAGGAAACAAACAGGTCGAAGAGGCGGGGATGGAGCCAGTAAAGGTGAGTGTAGGTAGGGAGTTAGGAAGGGGATAGGTCAGTCCAGGGAGGACGGACAGGTCAAGGGGGCGGGATGAGGTTGGTCGGTAGGAGATGGAGGTGCGGCTTGAGGTGGGAGGAGGGGATAGGTGGGAGGAAGAACAGATTGGGGAGGCAGGGATGAGCTGGACTGGTTTTGGGATGCGGTAGGGGGAGGGGAGATTCATTTTCTTTTCACTTGCTTTTCCTTTCTCTCACTCCCTCTGCCTCTGCCACTCTCATTTTCCTTTCACTCTGTCATTCTTCCTTTCTTGATTGCATGCTTTCATTACTTTTTTTCTCAATGCATTCAATGGCTGACTCATCTTTCCCCCTTTCTCTCATACCCCCATTTTTAATTTGCTTTTCCGTTCCCTGTATCCTTTTCTTCCAGATAAAACTCAGTTTTAGAGAAAACAGAGTATTAGTTATCATGATGTGTTGGACTGGGGTGGACAAAGTCAGTAGTAATAAAGATTACTTATTATTTTGGTTAGACCCTCAACATGCAATTATGATATTCCATTCATTTGGTTTGTCTCCAGCACCACCTTATTTTTAATTTTTGTAATTATCTTGCTGGCTCATTTAATTGGATTATTGGTATCCCTTTGTTTGTTATTTAGCTGTTGACACTTTACTCACACCCTTGATCACCTACACAGACCAATATTTGGATTGTTGACACTCTACATAGAACATAGAACAGTTCAACACAGTACAGGCCCTTCGGCCCATGATGTTGTGCCAAACTTTTACCCTAAACCTAAGGTCTATCTACCCTCCACCCCTACCTTATACTATCATCCACTGAGGGGGGGAAGTTACAGTCCTTGAAAAACAAGGACAACTGAGATGTACGGGAGTGAAATGCCTCATCCTGGGAGCAGATGCGGCGGAGGCGAAGGAATTGGGAATAGGGGATGGCATTTTGCAGGAAGGTGGGTGGGAGGAGGAGTATTCTAGGTAGCTGTGGGAGTTGGTGGGCTTGAAATGAATATCGGTTTCTAGGTGGTTGCCCGAGATGGAGACAGAGAGGCCCAGGAAGGAGAGAGAGGTATTAGAGATGGTCCAGGTAAACTTAAGGTTGGGGTGGAAGGTGTTGGTGAAGTGGCTGAACTGTTCGAGCTCCTCGTGGGCGCACGAGGCGGCGCCGATACAGTCATCAATGTAATGGAGGAAGAGGTGGGGTTTAGGGCCAGTGTAGGTATGGAAGAGGGATTGTTCCACGTAACCTACAAAGAGGCAGGCATAGCTAGGGCCCATGCGGGTACCCATGGCCACCCCCTTTGTCTGTAGGAAGTGGGAGGAATTGAAAGAGAAGTTGTTGAGTGTGAGGACGAGTTCGGCTAAGCGGATGAGGGTATCAGTGGAGGGGGACTGGTCGGGCCTGCGGGACAGGAAGAAGCGGAGGGCCTTTAGGCCATCTGTATGGGGAATGCAGGTGTAGAGGGACTGGACGTCCATGGTAAAGATGAGGTGTTGGGGACCAGGGAATTGGAAGTGGGAGGAGGTGGAGGGCGTGGGTGGTGTCACGGACATAGGTAGGTAGGGAGGACCGCTTTGCAGAACACCTACGCTCGGTTCGCAATAAACAACTGCACCTCCCAGTCGCGAACCATTTCAACTCCCCCTCCCATTCCGCAGACGACATGTCCATCCTGGGCCTCCTGCAGTGCCACAACGATGCCACCCAAAGGTTGCAGGAACAGCAACTCATATTCTGCTTGGGAACCCTGCAGCCCAATGGTATCAATGTGGATTTCACAGGCTTCAAAATCTCCCCTCCCCCTACCACATCCCAAAACCAGTCCAGCTCGTCCCCGCCTCCCTAACCTGTTCTTCCTCCCACCTATCCCCTCCTCCCACCTCAAGCCGCACCCTCATCTCCTACCTACTAACCTCATCCCGCCCCCTTGACCTCTCCATCCTCCCTGGACTGACCTATCCCCTCCCTAACTCCCTACCTACACTCACCTTTACTGGCTCCATCCCCGCCTCTTCGACCTGTTTGTTTCCTCTCCACCTATCCTCTCCTCTATCCATCTTCTATCCGTCTCCCACTCTCTCCCTATTTATTTCAGAACCCCCCTTCCCTTCCACCATTTCTGATGAAGGGTCTAGGCCCGAAACGTCAGCCTTTCTGCTCCTGTGATGCTGCTTGGCCTGCTGTGTTCATCCAGCTCTGCATCTTGTTGTCTGACTTTCATGCAAATGCCTATTTAATAGCTGCTTAAATGCCCCATTGAGGCCAACTCTACTATCCTCTCAAGCAATGCATTCCATGCCCTTACCACTCTCTGAGTAAAGAACCTACCTCTGATGTCTCCCCTATAGCTACCTCCACTCACTTTAAAACTATGCCCCCTCGTAATAGCTACCTCCACCCTAGGAAAAAGTCTCTGGCTGTCCACTCTATCTATACCTCTGATCATTTTGTACACCTCTATCAAGTCACCTCTCATCCTTCGTCGTTCTAAAGAGAAAAGCCCTAGCTCGCTCAACCTTTCCTCGTAAGACATTCCCTCCGTTCCAGGCAACATCTTGGTAAATCTCCTCTGCATCTTTTCCAACGCTTCCACATCTTTCCTGTAATGAGGCAACCAGAAATGGACACAATACTCCAGATGTGGTCGAACCAGGGTTTTGCGATACTATTTGTATGATTTTTTGATCTTTGCCCATTAATCTTTCTGCCTATAAATTCTGTGCGTGTGTGCTTCCCTCTCACTTCACCTGATGATGGGACAATGCTTTGAAAGCTTGTGATTTCAAATAAACCTGTTAGACTATAACCTGGTATCATCTGACCATTAGTTATTATTAAAACACAAGCTTTGGAAACGACAACAATATCAGTTTAAATTAATGGAAAATAGTTATGACGAGTCCAGTTACCACAGACGTCATTTTGAGGGCCGAGAAAGGAGTGGGAGCTGTCTAGGTCCTGACATGCCCCTGGGGGAAAAGCAGTCACTGTTTGGGATTTTGATTGGGGAGCCCCTTAGGCTGAGATTGTGTTGGCTTTGTGGGGCCCTTGATAGCAGTCCCAAAAAGTCAGAGGCAGCCCTGCGTCAGCTGTTTGTGGAACACACATGGTCACAATTTCTGGCAGTTCTGGAATGAATTAGTTTCTGCTGAATGACAGGTGCCCGTGTCCAAGGATAACTAGCCATTCTGAGAAATGGCTGCTCAGCAGCTTCAGCAGTGCTACTGGGGAGACCACCCATGGAAATGGAGTAGCGGGAAGACGACAGTTACTCCACCCTTTCCTGACAGGAGGGAACCAATAAGGGTGGGGATTGGTGAGGTCTGGGTTTGTTACTCTGTTGGTGGTCATTGCTGCTGATGGGCCCCACAGTCGGCTCTGAATTGATTGAGCCATAGAGCCATAGGGTTGTACAGCACGGAAACAGACCCTTCAGTCTATCTCGTCCATGCCAACCAGATATCCTAAATTAATCTCGCCATTTGCCAGCATTTGGCCCATTTCTCTCCCAACCCCACCTATTCAGTATCCATCTAGATGCCTTTTAAATGTTGTAATTGTACCAGCCTGCACCACTTCATTCCATACACACACCACCCTCTACATGAAAAAGTTGCCCCCTAGGTCCGTTTTAAATCTTTCTCCTCTCACCTTAAATCTATGCCCGTGCCTAATCATGCAGGGCAGCAATCAAGATTTACCAGATGGCCTCCTCATAGAGCAGAGGGCCCACCCATTGCTGGTAAGATGTCAGCAGGAGCAGGATAAGACCTTTAATTGGCCTCTGGGCAGGAGGTAGTCCTCCACCATCTCCATCAGCAAAATAAAGGCCACTCCATCATAAGCTACCCCTCCTTCCTGCGCCCACCCTTTTACATGCCCTTGCCAGTTTCTAGCTGGTTGTAGACTAGATGGAGATTAATATAGAATTACACACATTACCCTCTTTTTGCGCAAAGTGACTAATGATAATCCAAAAATGACACGTTATGGTTTGATATGAGGAGATTACGGTGGCTGAGCTCAAATATTGAAACCATTACTTTTTGGGCACTTTGAGGGCATCTAAGACGACTAATCGAAGTCTTGATCAGATTAAATTGAAATATAGTCCATCTTATATCAATAATAATGGATATTTTATGCTATTGTTCATGCAAGATCATTTTAAAGATGATTACTGACCTGCTGAGCTTTTCCAGTACTTACTACTTTTGTTACATGCCTATACACTTGTTAAATTATATTCTGTACATCGTTGATATGCAACTGTACAGAGTAGTAAAATTACAGACACAGGACTATACGCTCTTTTAAGCTGCATTTTGTATCATTTCATGGAAGCAGAGCATATGCAGATTTGCGTTGAAAGATATGCACTTTACAGTATTTGGGGTGAAGCAAACTAGATTTGCATGTACTCTAACTCCCAAACAATATTAAAATGCCGGGAGCCTAAAGTAATTAAAAGCAGCCTGCAAAATCAGCAGTGAACTTGAAGAGTTTGGACAATCCCAAACATTCTGTGCAATAATGCACACTCAAAGGAGTCAATGGTTAAAGTTTTGGGTGGGTCGCTTTGGAAAATAAGTGATCAAAGGTAAATATCCATGTGCTAATGTTGACCTTGTATTCTAAAGTTTTGCTGGGTTATGTTCGGAAGGGCGAGTAAGAAGTTTCACTGTTTAATCTCCTACATTAACCTGCATTATTTGCCTTCTTCTCTGTCAAGAAGAACTCATAAGATGTGTATAGTTTATTCTTAAACGAGAATAAAAATAGATTCAAACAATCTTTATTATTTTTAATATAATTTTTAATAATGTGCAGATTTTTGTTTTTTGAATTTTATTGTCACTGCTGTTGCTCACCCATATTTGCAGAGCAAAATTAAATTGTGTGTGACTTGAAACTGATGAATCTTTGTTCTGATTTTGCACTTAAGCAGTATATTCACCATGGGTAATACAACATCACATGAACCTCTGGATGAATCTGGGGCAGAACTCCCAGCTTTGGAACAAACTACGGTAATGCTAATATTAATTTTCTTTGATTTATAATTTTCTGAGTGTCTCTTCTAATTTGGCAGGGCTGTGTTCAAGGTTTGATATGCATGTCTACAGTATGTGTCTTAAATCATTAATGCTGATCTCCAAAAGACATTAGAAAGTATGAAAAATGGTTGCTATGGGAATGCAACTGAAATAGTATTGGTTGAAATTGAAAGAGATCCAGAGCCAATGGTAAACTCATGACTTAATAGATCCAGTCATTGCAGAGCGGAACAATAAGGCTAATGTGATGCTGAATTATACAGTTAAAAAAAGTACTGTAATCAAAATCATACGACAATTGGAGAATGTTCCCCTTCAGTTACGTCATTAGTCAAGCATTGGATGGAGCTTACAGTGGATGGCAATGGATAGGCTGTCTTATTTACACGCTATCTGATTTTCCTGTCATGGATGTACAACGAGAGCGGCTAATCTCCTACCACTGATATTACTAACCCTGTCAAATTCAGGTCAGCAAGAGATGAGGAGACCTTAGCAGGATACAAGCCAGAGAGAAATCATATGATTTAACCTCAGTGTCAGAAGATGGAGGAATCACTATGAAGTCTTGAGCTTTTCAGTGTTGAAGTGAGTTTCAGAGGTGTTTGATAAGGTTAAACAATATTATAATGATACATAATACATTTGAGACAAATTTTAAATTGTCTATGGCAAGTGCAAAATAGTGAATTTCAAATTTACAACTTTTCTTCATGCAAAGGTTAATCAATACATGGATTGATTTTTTTTTGGTGTGTGGAAATGCTTTAAGAAAGATTTGGATTATAAATCTTGTCAGAGCAGATTAGGTGGCTGCTTGATAGATTGGTTAGGATTAACTCAGTTGCCCCTGTTATTTAGAATGAGGAAATAAAATGAATAAGAAATGGTCAGTTAATTTATGTTAGACAGACATTCATCTTTTTCAGCTTCTCACTGATAGTATTTTGTTTTGGTAGAATATAAATGCACAATTGAAGTTAAATAATTGTTTCCCTCAGAGCACTGAAAATATTTTCCCACGTGTTTCTAAACTCTATATACATTGTTGATTCATTTGAAAGAGAAACTAGTTTTTAAAATGAGAATGTGTGGTTAATATTTGAACTGCTTGAAAAACACACAATGCTTTCAGTTTGCTTCCTTTTGTTCTTTCGTGTCAAATTTACAAAACGTATAAAAGTGAGTTTTATACCCAAAGCAAAACTGGTCTAAGGATCAATGTAATTCCATGAATGAGGCAACATTAGTAGTTTCAAATTATAAATATTTGCATTTGACCTTTTATTTGAACTTATTTTGAGCCTGAATTATATGCAGTACAGTAATTAAGAAGTGAATGTGACGTCATATATATTTTCACTTGCATTCTACCCATTGGCAGGACCTTGGCTCATCGTTTGCTGATACTTCAGCCTGGTCTATTTTATAGAATTGTAAACTCATATGGCACAGAAACAGACCCTTCAGCCCAACTCGTCCATGCCAACTAAGTTTCCCAAACTAAACTGGTCCCATCTGCATGCATTTGGTCCATATCCCTCTAAACTTTTCCTATTCAGGTACCTGTCCAAATGTCTTTTAAATGTTTTAACTGTATTTGCATCTACTTCTTCATCTAGCAATTCATTGCACATACAAACCACTCTCTGTATGAAAAAGTTGCCCCTAAAGTCTCATTTAAATCTTTCTCCTCTCACCTTAAAAATATGCTCGTAATTTTGAAATCACCCACTATAGGGAAAAGACCTTTGCTATTCACCTTATCTATGCCCCTCATGAATTTTTTTTCTCCTCTGTAAGATCACTCCTCAACCTCCTACGTTCCAGTGAAAAAAGTCCCAGCCTATCCAATCTATTTCATAACTCCAACCCTCCAGCCCTGGCAACATGTTGGTAAATCTTTTCTGAACCCTCCCAAATTTAATAATATCCTTCCTGTAGCAGGGTGACCATTTTCTTGGCAGATTTTTATCAAAAATGGTTTACTACTGCTCACTGCTCCCATGGTGTCAGATCCCAATCCCACCTCAACCAGTATGGGAATCAAATGCACATTGTTATATTATTCTGAGCATAAAGCTAGCCATATAACCAACTGAGCTAACCAGCACCTAATTTCCATTACTTTGTTAGAAACACAGCATAGAAGAAATGTCTTTTGAATGACTATCTTAAGAAATTTATGGTTGTAAAATAAATTGAAATATAGATATGCAAAATAAAAAGGTAAATGCATTGACCGAACAGAAAAGATGACAGGAATCATTATGAGCATCTGATAATTTTAAACTAAATGTAATCATGGAGTGAATTTGTTTACACAATTCACAAGTGATGAGAACATGAAGGAGTTTACTTCATTCATCAAACAAAAACCACATATCAAAAGCTGTGCATTGGAAGGTGACAGAAAACTTGGGCAACTGGGATGATGGCCCCAAATGAGGACCCAAGCTATACACCAGTTTAATTTCGGATGAAATTTGCAAACAGTAGCTGGCCCAATTATGTTCCCAGGTCTGGGGCACACACCTGGGAGAAATCCTGACTCTACAAGTCTGACCATTGAAAATGGCCACATGTTTCAAATTTGATGTTGGGGGTGGGTGAACTGGATTGGAAGTCAGGCCATATGACCCAGGAAGAGACTAAGAAGTTGCCAGTTCCTGGTGCAGACTGGGCAGAAAGCCTGCCTGGGAAATCCAGCACTATATTCAAAGGTTAAAGATAAAGATTAAAACAGAAAACATCTCTTCTGCTCTCACCCCTTCAATCTGCATGCTCCATCCATGCCAACTTATGCATTTATGCCCATCCCAATGGCCCTCACACTCCTGTGCAAAGCACTCCATCTTCTATGGCCCTTATACACCGTCTAATCTAGCCCATGTAGCATATATAGCTACTAACGCAACTTAGTGTCAACTCATATTACCCACTGATCACCCTCTGCCCTTTCCTTTCAACTGATGCCAACTCACTAATTATCTTACATGGGCATGTATCAGGAGGATCCTAACAGGAAATAACATTATTGGTCTATTGATTTTGTCACCATTAAAAAGAAAAAACATTTCCATTCGTGCAAAGCCCACACAATACGTGCACTTTGCCTAAACTAATCCTTCATAAGAACAAATACCTCATTCAAGTTCTTAATACATTATGTCAAAACCATTTCCATTCAATAAATGGTTTGAACTGACCATCAATAGGCACCCCATTGTGACTGTTATATTTAATGGAATCTATCATGTACAGTAAATGCTGTCATAGTTTTCAATGACCAGCCACATTGAAAAGCTTTGCAATTCTTTCTTAGCTCCATATTTCTTTTGATAGTTTTTGTTGCAAGTCCCACAGAGTTTGTGATAACAAGGTGTAGAGCTGGATGAACACAGCAGGCCAGGCAGCATCAGAGGAGCAGGAAAGCTGATGTTTCGGGTCTGGACCCTTCTTCAGAAAGAA